GAGCTGGTCCGAAGCAAGAAATGAAAAAGAGTGTGTATGTAGGCGAGATAACCAGGGTGTCATAAACGAGGTAGACGGATCCAGAGTGTCTATGCTTGTGCTGGGTGCGAGAAAGGAAGGGACGAGGGTTGCCCATGCGAGTATACCAAGACCTGTGCCGCTGTGCGTGCGCGCGCGCGCCTCCCTATTCGTGTGAGAGCGTGTGTGTTGTTGTCTGCGCTTGCGCTTGATTGTGTGTGCGAATGCGTTTGTCTGTGTGTGTGCGTTGATCGGCTGTCTGTGGGCACGTGCGCGTGAGTGTGCGTGGTAGTCTGTGTGCGTGACAGTAGCACTGTGTTAGTGTACAAGAGTGTGCGTATCCGTGTGTGACTGAGGACGCATCCGTGTGCGGGTACGTGTGCCTGTGGGTGCGGTTACGCTTGCGCGCTTGCGCTCAAAGGTGTGCCTGTGTCGCGGGGAGTAGAGGGGTGTGTTCGCTGCTCATGTGATGAAGGAAGCAAGTGAGGGAACTTGCCAACGGGGGTGAAAGACGTGAGGATTGGGTCGAAACAACGGCTTGAACTGAGTGACATTGACATGCTGTGGGCTTCTGCATTTGAGCCGATGTTTACAGTGGTGTGATTGAGCGAGTGTATGCTCGGGTGCTCGGTTTGTTGGTCTCCGCCTGCGATTGGCTGGGTGTCCTATGTCGAGAGTCTTCGTGGGTGCCGTAGACTATTTAGAGTCTTCGTGGGGGCCGTAGACCATCGTCTAACTTATGAGGGATCGGATTCTATTCTTACTTATCTTTTGCTAGCTCAGTCAAAATAGGGCTTTATGGCAACATTCCTGAACATCGCAATCGCGACAAAACTGTCCATCGCGATCCGAATTCGGAGGGACAGGAGGGAGATTGAGGAGGTGAAGCGTGGACACGCGTGGGTATGGGGAGCGGGAGAGGGATGCAGTGGGGAGAGAAGGAGAGACACAGGAAGAAATGGGGAGAGAAGAGAAATTCTGGGATTGCAGAAACAGTGTTCCACTGTTCGCCGCGTGTATATGTGTGCGCGCGCCACGGTGTACGTGCGTGTTTTGTCATGTTCGCTGTACAGAACCCGACCCAAAAAAAAAAAAAAAGGATGATCTTGCCGGACTCTGTGTGTGTGTGTGTGTGTGTGTGTGTGTGTGTGAGAGAGAGAGAGAGAGAGAGAGAGAGAGAGAGAGAGAGAGAGAGAGTTGGCATTGTGTACAATGAAACTTCAACTCGTACATTGAGAGCGCTGTCGCCTGTTTTGTGAGGCTTCGAGCTGCAGGATATTGATTTATTGTACCACCACGTTTGTGAATCATCATGTCTCAAGGAAGGCGTGCCAGAATACCGCAATTCCCTGCCCAAGTCTGACCATTATCCCCCCCGCACGTCCGCCCTCCCTCACTCACATCTCATGATTTGGTACTTGGACAATCTTTGCATTCGTGTTGGCTTCTATGACACAATGACACGTACACACCATGTATGCACAATGCCCACCTTCGGGACTGTGGCTGTACTGGGACGGTGACCCTTGGGACTGCGACTATATTGGGACTGTGACCTTTGACTTCCTGTCGAACAGACACAACGACCATGTCTCAGCCTTAAGTTTGATTCGTTTAGGACCTGTTCGTTTAGGCAAATGTCGCACTTGGACTGAAATAAAAAGTTCTTTTGCACAATTCACAGTCAGGTCCTAAACGAACAGTCAATTTTACCAACTATGAGAAAGGGTCATGTCTGTTCGGAAGTAAGTCAAAGGTCACAGTCCCAGTCCACTCACAGCCCCAAGGGTCAAATCTGATTCTGGTGAGGCTGAATACGATATTTGCCTCAGGGACTATGACTGGACTGGACTGGGACTGTGGCCTCTTAGATTGCGAATGGACTGGACCGGGACTCATCTGCGACTGTGAAAGGTCACAGTCCCAGTACAGTCACAGTCCCAACTAACCACACAGACATGACCCTGTTTCTGCCTTAAAATTGACTGTTCGTTTAGGACCCGACTGTGAATTTTGCAAATTTTTTTTGTATTTGAGTCTGGATGCGACATATGCCTCAGGGAACTGGCGTTTTGGAATGCTGCTTCGTAACTTTAAGTCGTTTTGCAAAATTCACTGTCATGTGCTAAATGAACAGTCAATTTTAAGGCTGAGAGAGGGTTATGTCTGTTCGGCAAATGTCGCAGTCTCAAAGGCCCCAGTCCTTGTCCGGTCCCAGTCAAGTCCAGTCCCAGTCCCAGTCCAGTCCCAGTCCAGCCCAGTCACAGTCCCCGAGGCAAATGTCGCAAATGTTGCAAAATTCACAGGCAGACTTGTACTGGGGTTGTGACCTTCCACAAATGTTGCCTGCCTCGTACAATAACAGTGTTCCACGCACAACTTGTTCTCTTCCACATTTTTGCCACATTCCTCTTTCTCCCCTTTTCCAAAGCTGGAAGGCTTCCCTCAGGAGCAGACATTTCTGGTGCCAGATAGAAAGAAAACCAATTGCTTTTGAGCATGTTCAAGGGCTGATTTTGACATGTTATTGGTGCCTAACAACATTGCCTGCCTCCTACCGTAACAGTGTTCGTTGATGCGGGCTAATGCTTAATGATGGGTGCAAATTGAGCATATTGTGCCCCAGACTACTTGTCTCACCACCTCACCACCAGCCCCCATCTTCACACTGACCCTTGTTTGATGATTACCTTACTCTTGCCACAGTTTTCTTCTCTCTTGACCCGAACAAAAGTAGTAACCAAAGGCATGTGTCAGCACTATCTCCTTCCTTGAGTCCACGCCATGAAACCCCCTCTGCACTCCCTTCACTTTGTGAACACCCTTGTTGTTCAACTAACACCTCCTAAGTCCCTCTTTCAATGGGAAAACACCTCTTTAATTCGGTACAAACACCCCTCCATGTGCCTTGAATACCTGTTCAAAGGAGCCCCATTTCAAATTGTGAACATCCCACATCACCCCCTCATGTTGGCAGAGAGTAAACATCCCACATCACCCCCGGTCCTCATGTTGGCAGAGACTGGACTGGACTGGGACTGTGAAAGGTCACAATCCCAGTACATTCACAGAAAAAGGTTCACAACTACTCGACATAAAGGCCCTACGCAATGGTAGGGTAACAGGGACTCTACATGCGAGTACGGGCCAACAACAACATTCACAAGGAAAAGGTGTTGTGAGTATGATGTACGTCACATGGGGCGATCAGGACGGGCACACAGACATACTCCATGTCTGTGTCAAGAGGATTGATTGCATGTGTGGGGCAATGGGTACAGGACGAGTACACAAGCATACTCCATGTGCCGTTCAGAAGGAAAAGGTGACTGCACTTGCATACTGTATGTCAAGAGGATTGATTGCATGTGTGGGGCAACAACAACATTCACAAGGAAAAGGTGTGATGTGAGTATGATGTACGCCACATGGGGCGGTCAGGATGGGCACACAGACATACTCCATGTCTGTGTCAAGAGGATTGATTGCTTGCGTGGGGCAATGGGTACAGGAGGGGCACACAGGCATAAAAAGTGACTGCACTTGCATGCTCTGTGTCACCAGGATTGATTGCACGTGTGGGGCAACAACAACATTCACAAGGAAAAGGTGTTGTGAGTGTGATGTCAACACCAACAAATTTGTGTCATGCCCCGACAGCTCCATCACCGGCCCGGGGGAGAATGCACCAGACCACCTCCAACAGGTACAGGACGGTCACACAGGCCACAAACAGCCAGCCACAGTGGCCCACTGTCGTTGAATGCAAGCAAGGGCATGGCAGAAACATGCCCTTACGGTCAAATTTGTGTTATGCCCCGTAGGTCCCTAAGAGGCCCGTGTGAACCAGCCGAGAAGTTGCTTGGCAAGTGTGAACACAATGAGTTTGCTGATTTGGTTCGTGTGTTATTCATGATTTTACCAAACATCTACGTTACTTGTACTACAGAGGCGGCGAGGTTACCGAAGTCTACTTACTTTCGTTTTTTTGTCGATGTTTTCAAGACAAGTGTACTATCCATTTTCCGGTGGACAGGGCGATTCTGTGAAGTTTTACCTGTTAACGAGGGTGTGCAAGAGCGATGCTAGGAGCGGGATCGCGCGGAGACAGGCATGACTATGATCGCGACCGGGAGCGATATCATGAGAGCAGACGTGACGAGGACTCTGGCCGAGAACGGACTGGCGACGATAGGCGGGATCAGCCTGTGGAATCTCGACAAGATCGAAGTTATACGGAACCACCGAGACGTTATGCACCGGTGTGTTTCGAGTGCGGGGAGCCGGGATACTACAAGAACCTATGTCCTTGAGTGGACGGGGACACTAGCACTCGATTCACGACATTTCGAGGACGTTCGACCTCGCTAGGACGTCAGGGACATCCAATGGAGCGGCGCTCGGTTTCGGAGGAACCAGTTCTACGGAAACAGATCGAGGATCTTGCCAACTCTTTGGCGACTATAAAGGAAGTCTTTGACGCTGGGCAAGCCTGTAAGGAACTTAAGCAGTAGGAACGGAAAGAGAAAGAGAAACGAAAATAAGAGGCGAAGGAGCAGCTAGCGAGGGAACAAGAGGAACATTTGGCTCGAGTACGGCGAGAGGAGCGACGGCGCATGAAGAAAGAAGAAGAAAAGCGGAAGGAGGCTGAGTTTCGCGAAGGGCTAAGGAAGGAATTGAGAATGGAAGTTCGCATGCATGTTGGAGGGGCATCCGAGGAGCTACACCAGCGATTATTCGGAAGCTTGTCGAAGAGTAAGGGGAAAAACAAGCTACCAGTATACAGTGGATCAGACGACGACGAAGAAAGCGATGATGACAGCGATTTTGAGGCCTTGAGCAAAAAAACAGGAAGCCTAGAGATCAACGATAAACGCAAGCACAGTGTCGAACGCGTCATCAGCGATAGCCCTCCGATGGTGACCCTTGCTAAGCGACCGACAAAACGTGGCACGCTGTTGCCGATGCGTCTTGCGCTCAGCTGTCGGCATCCGCCTATGAAGCGATCGCCGGACAAGAAGACTCTGGGAGGAACCATCGCTAAGATTAAGAAGATACCCGCCACGATGGGTAATCCAGGGAAACTACGCTATGTTAAAGAGAACCTTCGGGTGTTGGGTGGAATGAATGTTGATGAGCTGAAACAGATATGTCGAGATAAGGATGTGCGCTTCGAAGGCAACAAGAAGAAGATGGATACTATCCTAGCTATTACCGAGAAACGCACACACGAGGCATATGGCACTAACAAGGAGGAGGAAGAGACTACCGAAGGCACCACGACTGGGATCTAAGATGATCCTACCGATAAAGAGTCGCATCAGCCATCAGAACACGAGGACCAGGAGGAGGAGGACAACTGAACCATTGGGGACTACTGGCGGCTCTGTAGAGCATTGATTGCACTTCGTCGTGATTCACCATACAACACTGTGACAGAGCAACTGTATCGCTACGTTGTTATCCTCTTGACGATCTACGACCAAATTCGATGGCTACGCAAGTGCCTGACATCATGGATGGACATGTACTGAAAGTACGGCATCAAAGCTTTTAATGGGGATTCCAACGACATTTAGATCCTAACTTCACCAACCTGCAAAACACAATATGTGGGACAGACCAAGCGACCAACAAACACAAGTTGGAAGGAACACTTATCTGTGTGTGGCCAAGCACGCAAGCAAACTCACCTATATAGGTGTTGGCAAGTGTACGAAGCCGAGTCCTACGTGCTCTTGACGATCGAAGCATGCTCCGAGTCGGAGCTCATACCACTCGAGCAGTTATACATCCGCCGATGGTCACCCGTCCTAACACGACTGGTAAGCAAGGTAAGGGTGTTAGGACAGGTCAACGGTGACTTGGGAAGCGGGAACTGAGTAGGACAGCTAGACCAGTCCACGTTGTTGATAGATCCAACGCGAATGTACCTATTGTACCTATCAAAGCAAGGATTAGGAAGGTAGAGGACTGGAGTCTAGATGTATACCAGCTGCTGGACTCACAGGAGATAGCGGAATGTCGAGTTTTCTCGTTGACCGTGGAACAAGTGAACAATTGGTGTGGGGGATGGAGGGCAATCAAGACTGCTTTCGGGAAGACGAAGGTAACTATTGAGGGTAAACGATTAGAATTACGTCATAGCAGAGCATACATGGAGAGAGGCAGGTTAGTTCAAATAACACACGTGGTTAAGTGGACGCCAAAAGACGGACCAGACAAGAAGTTCTTGCGCTCACTTTTTCGCAATCCTCAACGTATGGACGCCCTAAGGATATGTAGACTGACCGTATTAGTCAGATTGATCAAATCCACTGGCGATTTCCAAAAAGCAGCTTCGACTGCTTTCCTTCGGCGTTTGATTATCCGAGCTATCAAGTTAAACTTTGGGTGGAGTATGAATGCAAAGTTAGTGGTTAGATTGAAGTTCGATGACCGCATTAGACTAGCTGAAGTACGAAAGTTAGTTAATGATAAGATCGCGAGATTAGATGTTCCGGCTTGTCTAAAAGATGTCGCACGTGGTATGGTTCGCATCGTATGGGTCAAGAACCCGTCCATGGCTGACATGTTGCATAATCAGCGGCGATTCGCCAAAGCTGAGGTGTTGTATGTACCTGTTCAGGTCTTCCCTACCCCCATGTAGGAGACCACGTGCACTTCTGCCTGCACGAACTGGAAGAGATCAACCCCATGATCTGTCACGCTAACAATGTGCCGAAGCTAGATCACTTGGATAGGGAAGGTCTGTTAGCACAGGAGATTTCGGCAGAATTCGCTACCTAGGGAAACAGGGGCGACACTGAGGTGTGAGTTCAAAGATGGGAAGTGCAGGATTGCATGCAGTCAGTTGGGGAGGCAGAAGACAACTGTGTGAGGAATTACCTGGACGCTAAGGATGTCGAGATCGTGAAGGCGAAGTTGAATGACCTGGTGCTCACGAGTCTTGACCGCAATTCGGGGGAGACCGTAGCCATGTGCCCTAAACTCTTTTTTGAGGCCATGATGGAGACCTTTATACTGTCATCCGGATACACGATCAAGCAGGAGAATGAGGAGGACATACTGCGGAAGATGAAAGCGGATACCAAGGAATCAGGTCTGCAGCAATTTGTGCGGTGGGATGCAAAGGGGAAGATGGGTAGTACTTATGTTTTGCCAAAACATAAGGATCTATCAAGGTTCTATCCAATATGTCCAACCTTCTCTGAACCTACCGTTCGAACCTGTCGTGCTACTGCCAAAGCACTGAATCATCTTTTAGCGGGCATGCCAGGTGCTTGGCACTTCAACCTGCGATCGGTGTTCGAGTTGGTATCAAGCCTGTATCAGGGAAACAAAAACATTGGCCGGGTGATGCAAACGAACTTTGAATTGGTGTCCATGTCCTTTGATATCAAGGACATGTTCAGTAAACTACCGCATGAGGAGATATTAAAGGCAGTTGACTGGGTGATTGACTACCACATGAGCAAAGGACGAAATGGATCCGTGTGAACACAAAAGGTAAAGACTGCACTTTTGGAGTGAGCATAGGCGACGATCACTGGAGGAAGATGGACCTGGAGCTGCTCAGGAATTTCATTAAGTGGGAACTGGAGCACACCTACACGAAAGTCACTAGTACTCTGTTGCAGCAAGTGGTGGGCATCACCATGGGTAAAGGAACGAGCCCACCGCTGACGTGTATGCTGTGTGCTTTCGCGGAATTTAAATTCCTGCAAAGCTTAGGCGGGTGGCGGCGTTTTGTGTTTGGTGTGCGCCTGATGGATGATGTTAGTTTAATCATTGTGAAAGGAGGGAAAAAGCAAATCCCTGTGGACAAAATTATTCGTGGCTTCGAAGAATGCTACCCCAAGAATCTAACGCTGCAAAGAACGGACAAAGGGAAAGGAGTGTGAAATTTTTTGGGCATTGTCATGTCGGTGGATGCGTCGTATCCGTACCTACGATGCACACAGTTCTCAAGAACGAGGCCTCATCATGGGAAGAAGGTCGTTTGGAGTTCAAGAATGGTCAAACGTACTACTCCTGGGGAGCAAGCACAAAAAATCGCTATGGTGGGGAGTTGCTTGCACAGGATCGAGCGCAACACGAATGTGCGCTTAGACATACCTATGAGAGTGTTGAGCTTGCAGAAGGAATTACGTTTGAAGTCTTTCCCTCACACCTTCCTGATACGAGTCGTGAAACGTTTTGCAACGGGGAGAGACCAAATCTGGAAGTGGACATACAACTGGCTCTACGGAGAGGATAAGTGAGCATGATGCGCCGGAAGTACGGACGGGGTCTATGTGTTCGACGGTTTAGCAGGTCTACCAGGTGTGCTTGTGATTGTTTTCTCATAATAAATGCATGATACGTGGTAAACTGTGTTGTACCCTAGTAGATGTTTGAATGTGACTATTTGGGTTTGAGATAACTAGGACAGGGTCCTTGAATGGTCAGTCCGTGTGATGATTTTTCGTTGATTTTCGAAATAGATGTAGGATAGGTGGAATTAGGGTTGTGTTGTTTTTTGTTTTTTGTTACCTTGAAATAAACTGGGACAGGGTCTTCACCTGGTTAGTCCTTGAATTTCTCGGATGTGGTTCTGCTTTTTAGGGACAGGGCCCGACTTGTGACCCGCGTCGATAGGCCCAGCGTGCCGTCAGTTTTTGTCAGTGTTTTGCAGTTCCGTTTTTTAGTTGTTGTCGGCACCTGGTTTGTAGCAGGCCAGACCGGTTTTCTTTTCTTTTGAACGCCTAAGTGTACCCTGTGATGCTTAGTGTAGGATCATCGGTCAGACTTTTTGGAACCAGGACCGGACTACCTGTTAGCTCTTCCAGGACGCTACCTAGCTGAGAGAAGCGGTGAAAGCCGCACAGAGATATATAAGAAAACACTACGCCCAGTTTGGTCCTTTTGGGTCCCGCGCCCGGCTAACGCACGGCATTCCGGGATGCGTGCGAGTAGCCTGGTGTGGCGTAGGGTTAGTCGGAAATGACGAGGTGGTTGTGAGGTTAAGGGAGACGAAGGTTGATTCCCCCTGAAGAGACAGCGTGGCGGCTGTCGAAACCGGTCGGAGTGCCATACCCACGGGCTGTTTGCGTTGTTTTTACTTGTGTGTTTTTTCTTGAGTACATGATTACATGTTTCTATCGAGTCTGCTCACTTGTTTACATGACTACATATCTGCTTTGGGATCACACACGCGTTGATGGACTTTTGTCTATTCTTCCTTCTCGCTTCAAATCTCAAATCAAATCCCTGAGAGGCCCGTGGAAAATGCCCCAGAGAGCCTCCAACGACTACTGGGGCGCGACAGAAAGATGGGTGGTACCGGTAGGGGCATCATACAGATTCGGGCGCAGGCTTTTAACGGCCATCCGGTAAGGGCATGCTGAAAATTTGGCACCGGTACGGGTAGGGGCACGAGGAAAACATTTGAGGCCCAAGCGACACCAGGGACTTATGGGACATTTGAACCCTGGTCACAGGGGCGCTACAGGGTAAAACGGCCAAAGGAGGGGCACGACGCAAATAAATGCAAAATACAGGGGCGCCAGACAAATATTCCTTTATTATTATTATTTTTTTTTTCCCATGAGGCTTCTTTTTTTTTCTTGTTCTTTTTTTTCTCGACTGATGCAGATGCAGGATCTCGCAACTCGCGCGGGCGATCGAATCCGCAGCTGCAGTGACATCGTCTGGCGCAGAATGACTCTGTCTGGAGGAACTCAAAGGCCAATCCTCAGTGTTGCAGTCTGGTACCGGGGAAGGGAGGGCGGGCGGGAAGGGAAACACATCGTGTGGAGATGAGAGTGAGGGCTACATCACTCCGGCAGGAGTAGCAGCGGCACTGTGTATCACCTCTCCAGACTGAAGGAGCGAGCGGGCGATGCAGCGAGGCGTGGAATCCGTGAATAGACAAGGCAAAGCAAGGGGAGTGGCTGACGGGGAAAGACATGGAGGCTGATGGAGCTCCTCAGCAGTTCAGGGAAACAAAGTTTCCACTGACTGAGCTTCTCTCTAGGTGAGTTTGCCGGCGTAGAGTGGGGTTGCAGTATCTATTACGATTATGATTGATGGGTGGGGGAGGATCAACTGTCTAGGATGAACGAACGGACATCTGCACCCAGGGCACGCACGCGTCAGGTAGGTAGTGTGCTCTGCGGTAGTGCGCTCTGGGGAAGCGTGTGTGTCATATTAGGAAAGAGAAGCCGATTTAGAATGTTCTCTTTCAGGACCTGTTACAATTGAAACGATGAGAGAAGAGCATCATGGTCCCTGGGCGAGGATGAGACGCACAGATCCAGAGCTGGTCCGAAGCAAGAAATGAAA